AGAAGAGGAAACAAAATGGTTTGAGTATTAAAGCATTTTCTATTTAACACCTAAATATTTAAAATGTTATCAAACATTTTTTTTTTCTAAGCCTGATGCACATTAAAGTTATATGAATTAAAAAAAAAAAAAAATAATAATCAGGACCATAAAATGTGAAAATATGGGAATAACTTATTTTCCTCTTTTGTACTCTGCCTCTGTTACACAAACCCTCTGCCCAGACTGCATTTTTATGACTGAGAAACATCTTATAAAAACCAGCAGACTCCTTAAGTGCAGAAGCATGACTGCTGTTGCTTTAGTATTGGAAATGTAACTAGATCAGCATGGCTAGCGGTGTAATACAATTCATGTACAGCTTTGGAAAAAAAATACGGAATCATCTGCTACAAGCGTGAAGTTGGCCAAAATGTTTTAAATTCTATCTATCTCTCTGATGAGGAGCTGAAAAACAACAAAAATCTTCCCTACATTGCACTGTCTTGGGAAGAAAATAGAACGCAGTGAATCTTTTAACCTGGACTGCAAATAGCTCTGAAAGGAAAGGAGAGGGCAGAGGAAATAAATTTGGCAACGCTACGCGTGGATCTCAAGCAAGCACCGTAAAAGGCAGTGAGCTACTTCATACTGTTTAGCAGTGGTAGGTTAGACAGCAGGTGACGATTTTAACTTGAGGGCTCCAAGTTGTCTCAGCGTCCCAAAGATCCCATCATGTCTTTTGGAGAGTCAGCAGCTAGAAGTGGTGAATCTCTTGGCCAATGTCTGAGGCATAGGAAGGTCTGTCCCCAGCTAGGCCTTCCCCCTCCTCTCAGGCCTGCGTCAGGCAGATTCAGACACCCACGGCCTGAGGCTCTGACTGGCCTATGCCCTCCCGTGGGACAAGTGAGAGCGACACAACGAGGCTTCCGTGGGCTCACAGGGCCTCCATGCATCATTTGTCCTCCCCCAGCCTCATGGTTGGGAAAGCGGAGAGGGGGACATCAGTGCTGGAAAGCAAAGGAACACTAAAGAAGGATTTGCAGCTGCTAAACGAGAGAAAAGAACACATTTCAGTGGGAAGGGGAGGAGCTGCTCACACAGCATCACATGGCACCGAGGCCTGGCACCACAGGTGTGGTCTGCGAGGCAGCAGCCATGCTGGCACAGAGCCTGAGGAATGTTGCTTGCAGGGGAGAATAAAATTGTCATGGGGTACTCACAATAAAAGCTATTACCATTTGTTTTAAGCAGATATATTTTCATAGCAGCTTTTATTAGCTGAATGAAAAAAAAAAAAAAAAAAAAAAGTGCTAAGGGAGAGTGAAGGGAGATGCACATAGAGTACAATAAAGCCTGAGGTGGGACTTATTCCAGAAAGCAGACAGTCTCAGCTGCATGGGGAGGGGTGTCGGTGGGACAAGCTGCAAACGCATGCCAGAAACCAGACACAAATGTGTCTTGGGTTGCATCTCCTTAGTGCTCCTCATGTGTCCTTGGTTCACCCTGCAGTGCTGGCCACTGCAGCATGCGTGGGATGGAAAAGTGAATTTGTTTGCAAAATAAAGCTGAAGGTGGCTCTCTTCATTGATTTTCTTCCATGTTGCAAGTGAAATGGAAAGTGGGAAACATCTGGTCACGCAGCATGTGATGTTATGCAGCAGTAATGCTGTGGAGAAGGCAACAGGGGAGTGGTGTGGGGGGGGGCAGGGACAAGGGCTGGGTTTAGGAACAGGGGGGGAGAGAGGAGGAAGTGGAGGGGAACCTCTGCCAGCAGCTTCTGGAGTTACCCGAGGGACAGAAAGGAGAGAAAAGGAGAGGAATAATAGGTGAAGGAGTGCATGAGAAAGAAGTGGAGCATGTCAAGGTAGGGAAACTGCAGTGTGTTAACTGCAGGACTGACGCATTTTAAAAATACTGCAAGGACAGGAGAGGACAGTTGACAGGGTTACGTAACATAATTCCTGTGACTTCAGCATGTGCTATTTGTGCTTCCTCTGACTAGCATGTGATCATCATTTATTTATCTCAGTGACTGAGTAGTTTGGGGTTGCACATTTAGCAATTATTATGTACAAGACTTAGATAGCATTGTACCTAGTTGTATTTCAGGATCCTCTAATCAATTACATCAGTCTTTTCCACAGCAGATGTCGGCTCTGGAAAACGCAAACAGATTAGAGGCATTAAGGCTCAGCACTCTAAAATAGTTTGTAGCTCTCTCTGCCATAGAGGAGCTTTAACTGAAGCAAGGCAAAACTTAAAACTGCATCCTGTAACTCATGGGTGTCCAACCTTTTGGCTTGCCTGGGCTACACCGAGTGAAGAGGAATTGTCTTGGGCTGCATGTACAAAGATTGCTCCAAAATAATGCCTCCTAATTGTTTCAATGAAAACTCTAATTGATACAGAGAACATAATGACAATATTTAATAGAGCAAATGCTCAAACACTTTTTCAACTCTGTCACAACCATTTGTTATGCATTTTCACCAGCAATGAACAAGAGGCTTCATGCTGTACTCATAAAAATCACCAGCGGAGAGGACCCGCTTTTGTCATTGCTGAAATGCACCACACACCCCTCACTGTGTGTACATCCACTGTTTGGTCTCCATTAAAGTTCAGCAAGCATTGATGAATGTCAGTGGGTACCATTTTTTCCACATGGAAGAATTCAGTGACAAACTTTTGCTTCATATGCTCTTCTATGTCAGGCACCATTTTGTCCACCATTTTGTCAGATTGCCCCTGTGCTGCCATCTGTCACATGGCAACAACATGTAATAGTGGGAAGGTTCATCCTCTGTGCCATACCACCAACATCCATCTCTGATGTTGTGAGCCAACACTGTAAAACAGGTGCATTACTTTTCGAGGAGCCCTCATAAAATATACTACGTAGTTAATGTATATAAGTAACAACACATATTTCAGTTTTTAATGTTTTTATTAAAATATATAAAAGAGAGAGCAACAAAACTCTAAAGCTAGTGGAAGCTATGTGACCCTGTTTTTGTGGAAGTACTGCATGAGGATGGTTCTGTGGCAGTAGTTGCAGCTTTTAGTGAACTCTTAAGGTGTTCATTAGAGATTTCTGATAAAATTTTACTCTTCATAGAATCATAGAATGGTTTGGGTTGGAAGGGATCTCAAGGATCTTTAAGTTCCAACCCTCCTGCCACGGGAATACTCAAGTACTCGATTGCCCACGGTCCCATCCAACCTGGCCTTAAACAACTCCAGAGATGGAACATCCACAGCGTCTCCAGGCAACCTGTCCCTGCATCTTACCACTATCTCAGTAAAAAACTTCCTTCTGAAATCAAATCTAAATCTCCCCTCCTGTAATTTTAAACCCTTCCCCCTTGTCCTATCTACCCTTTTAAAAAAAGTTGATTTCCCTCACGATTAAAAGCTCCCTTTAAATATTCAGACATCCCAATGCGGTCTCCCTGCAGTGTCATCTTTTCCAGGACGAACAAGCCCAGTTCCTTTTGCCTAATTTCATAGAAGAGGTGCTCCAACTCTTTAACACAGCCTTCCTCTGCACCCTTTTCTAAAGCGTCACATCTTTACTGTGTTGGGAGCCCCAGACTTGGACTCAGCACTCCAGCTGCAGCCTCACAAGGGCAGAGTAGAGGGGAACAGTCATGTCCCTTGCCCTGCTGGCCACCCCTCTTCTGATGGAACCCAGGATGTCATTAGCCTTCTGGGCTGCAAGCCTACAGTGCTGGCTCATGTTAAGTTTTTCATAAACCAGGCCCCCTAAGTCCTTCTCAGCAGGGCTACTCTCAGGGACTTCTTCTCTCAGTTTGTATACATGTTTGGGATTACCTCGACCCAAGTGCAAAACCTTCCTGTACTGCTTCCTTGAAAATAATTGTTCACAAATGTATGTACTGCCAAAAAGCACTAACATGAGTAAAGAGTGTGTGAAATTTCTCCCTGGTAAGAGAAGTCTTATGAAACTTTGGTAAAGAGATATGATCAATTTTTTAATTGCAACTCTGTACATTCAATTTGAATATTCATGAATAATTATGTTCAATGAAAATGGATTTGCAAATAAATAAAAGACTGATGATTTTTTTTATGAATCTCGAAAACTGTCTTCAAATTCTTTTATCAAAATGGAAAGCACAGCTGCATATTTTTCGCTGTTCAGAGGACCGTGCTTAGCTGATGTATCAAATCCATAAACTTATTTGCCATCATTTGAGTTAGTGCTGCACTGCGTGCTAACTGGTTTCCTGCTGAGGTGGGGTTAAGCAGCACACTGATGTTCAGTTGGTGCTGAGTGACAGCTGTATTCCTGGCCTGAGGGGCAGAGGTGCTGCTATGATGGCATGGAGCACGAGGCAGCTGCAGTGTGAGCTGGGCCGGGCTGCATGCAGCCTGTGGGCTGCCAGTTAGACGTGCCTGCTAGCTGCTGAACATACTGCTGAGTGACTTGAACACTACATCTCAGGCACATAAACAACTGGACACATCTTGAACGCTTTGTTTATATTAAAACATCTGTCTCTTTTTTTCAGTGTGGTCTTCTGTGCAAAAATGGTGGTGCCTTGTTTGTGTAACATTTCCTGTGTCCAGAGATAAGCTTACTAAAATTAGAATTCATGGAATAACTTCGTTTTTGGAGGAGATACTTTTGACTACTTTTTGGTTAAAATTCACAAACTTGCCAAGAACTAACAATGTCCTGAATTAAATCTCTTAAATGTTGGTATGTTTCAATCCCAAAGACAAATACTTTTCACAAAAGAAAATCTCATCCATTAATGGTGCTTTTACTGCAGAAGAGTAACTAGACTATTACGTATGTTAGTGACCTGTTTCCCACAGGGAGCATCCTGTTTTTATGCCTTATGTAAGGCAGAAGTTCTTTATTACACCAAAAATACTTCCCAGATTGTCACTGTAATTTGCTACTGTATTTTTGCGAAAAACAACAGCTATGTATTATGCTCCTGAAAGATGCTGTCTTAGAACCACTATCTTTGCATTGTTTGCTGTAGATCGAAGACACTGTTCTCCAGTACTTTGGAAGCCGTATGAGAAGAGCAGTTCTGTATGCACCTCCTGCCCACAGCAAAACTGAGCATCAGCTCTGTCAGCGCATCCTGGCAAAGCATGGATATTCAGTCACAGTCCTTGAAAACAGGAGATTGGTGGAAGACCTGAGACATGGGGCCCCTTATCACAGTAAGAATAAACTTGACATAGTTAATGAGTTCATTGCTAAATGTTAGCTATTGTTCCAACGTTTTTACACAGAGGTAAAGCTTATATGCTATTGGTGTGATTAAGGCCAAGTTCTAACCCTTTACAGCTATGCAGATAATTTTTCACAATTTGATGATTCTTCCATTAGAAACTTCTTCTATAAAAAAGCAACAGTGATTCATCACAGTCTTGGGAACCAGGTTAGGTCATTTCAGTTCCTGATGAGTTCTCATATTGACTCCACCAATAACTGTGCTTCACTAGAGGATTTTATTATATGTAACAAATATCTGCAACACTGTAAAACTGTAAAACTCTTTCTCATTTTCTCTCTTAAAGGAAAGTTGCATGCATGAAGGTATGATTTTTTCTGAGGAAATATTTTGATAGTTTTGTAATGTATGCAGTAAGCTTGTTAAAGAACATGATGCACGAGTTCATTTTGAACTTGTACCAGAAGCTGAAGGAAATTGCTGTTAGTTATTTCTTAGTTCCTGTAGAAGTTTGATCTGTTGTTAAAAGGCTAGTGAAGAAACTTCATGTCTTGCACAAAGAACTATAACTTGGTGATGTGGAGTTATATTGTGCCTGATAGAAGAGCTTTGGTCACAAGTTATGTATGCTGACTGTGGTTAAGTGATCTTGGACACTTTAGAGATATGAAGTCAAACTGCGATCTTAATTTGGTATTCTGGAAGTCAGCTTTGGAATGGGAAGGCTTTGAAAAACACACACAGGCTGCTATTCTGTTAGTAGTAAAATAGAATCATAGAATAATCCAAGTTGGAAGGGACCCATAAGGATCATGGAGTCCAACCTCTCAAATAATGCAGTTGGTTGTTTCTCATGCTAAAGGGAGTGGCATTTGTATCATTCAGATCTGAATAAATTCCTGGGGCTACCAGAGAGCTCAGTTTTGCTTTGTGCTTTAGTGATCTAAATAGTTTAATAGATGAAAAACATAATTATTCAGCATGTTTGAGGCTGCTCAAGATTCCACCATAAATTTCAACTGTCTCCAAGAAACTTTCTTGAAAATGAGATACATATACTTATCTTGGCAGGCTGCATTGGGTACTAATAAATTATCTGTGCCTTGCTCTCTTTTACTGTAATCACTTTTCACAGTCACCTTTCATCTACTCCTTGCCTTGTGTACTTTCCATCTTAGAGTGACAAGACACAGTGTGCTTACAGTCTTTTCTAGTGTCAGGCTGCAAAGACAAGGCAGCATCTCTGGGGACCATTTGTATTTCACCATCTGTGTGAAATACTTTGGTTTCAAATGGCTGAAGAACTGGGCATGCCAAGTTCAGTTAGGCCTTGGAAAAAAATCACTGTACTAGATTTTGCTACAGTGATCAAATCAGATTCAGGTTCATCAGTACAGGTTTTTACCCTGTAAACACCACCTCTGCAGAAATGAACTTGATTGTGGACATTCATGTTTTACTGTCTGTCTAGTACCGATAGTTACAGCAGTGTTTTTCCAGTAATCAAAAAACAGACTAACACAATTTTAATTATTTTCCAAAAAAACACTTTGCAGCTTCCAGAATTTAGATGCATTGAAAAAAAGTAATTTTTTTTTGATTAAGGTAAAGAGTAAGATGTCACTAATTCCATTTCATGACAACAGAAGCATGCCGTTAAGTTTTCCATTGGTTATGTAAGTGCCTAGCTTTAAAGTCACATTTTAAAAGCAAAAGTAAAAGAACATGTCTGCATACCAAAACAATGATCTTTATTTAGAATGAAACAAGTTCAGCTTGAAGTTATTTTTCTTTGCCAGCAAATGATGGGTTTTACTGTTCTGGATGGGAGAGTGCTTTACAGACCACGTTTTGGAGAAGGATATTTTGAGCTATGTTTTGTCATAACATTTTTCAAATAGGAGCACTATAATTGATTTAAAGTATATTCCTTGGAGCCTCTAATAAAAAGATAAAGGTAATGATCTGAGAATCAAGGATCACGAATGCTGTGAAAAAAATCTGTTGAATGTCATTCCTTTTTACTTGATATTATGTAGCTTCTCTTGTCTGGTGCCTTTATTTTTGTGCACTTTCAGTGCGGTCTGTCTTACCCATCTATCTCTGAATGTTCAGTTTAATTTCAAAAGGAATTTTTGTTTAGAATGGCAGTGAGCCAAGAGTCTAGCAGAAGTCATATATGGAAAAAAAATTCACCACAAAACATTCCTAACTATTTTGCACTGGCCCATTATGAGTTTTGGGACCAGTTCGGCTCTTGTTTTGAAACCCAGTGTGACAGCTCTGCACACTGATCTGCCATAGAGATGCCACACACCTGGGCTGCAATGTTGTTTTGAATTCCTTACTGCCGGGGAGAAATGCTATGAGAATGTTTTTCTTCCTCTACCCCATGACCTGGAAGTCTTGGATGGGGAGCAGAATAAATTCCCCATTATTAAAATGGAAACGGTTAGACACTACTACTCCATGTGGGCTGCCACAAGTCCATGGGGCTGGACGGGATCCACCTAAGGGTGCTGAGGAAGCTGGCAGAGGTGATAGCCAAGCCACTTTCCATCATCTATCAGTGTTCCTGGTCAACCAGAGAGGTACCATAAGATTGGAGGCTTGTCAGTGTGACTCTCATCTACAAGAATGGTTGCAGAGAGGATCCAGGGAACAGATCATCTTGAGGGAGATCACATGGCATGTGCAAGACAACCAGGGGATCAAGCCACCTATGATTGAGTGATCTTCCAGGTGGATGAGGGGAAGGCTGTTGATGTGGTCTACCTGGATTTCAGCAAAGCCTTTGGCACTGTCTCCTGCAGTATTCTGGAGAAGCTGGCAGCCCATGGCTTGGACAGGTGCACTCTTTGCTTAAAGAACTGCCCCGATGGCTGGGCCCAGAGAGTGGTGGTGAATGGAGTCAAATCCAGTTGGTGATCGGTCACGAATGGTGTTCCCCAGGGGACGGAATTGGGGCCTGTCTTGTTCAGTATCTTTATTGATGACCTGGATGAGGGCACTGAGTGCACCCTCAGTAAGTTTGCAGATGATGCCAACTTGGCAGGAAGTGTCAATCTGCCTGGGGGTAGGAAAGCCCTACAAGGGGTCTGGACAGCCTGGATCACTGGGCCAAAGCCAAGGGATGGAGACAAGACCAGGTGACAAGTCGTGCATTTTGGCCACAACAATTCCAGGAAACACTACAGGCTAGGACAGAGTGACTGGAAGACTATGCAGAGGATCCAGACATGGGGGTATTGGTCAGTGCTTGGGTGAATATGAACCATCAGTGTGCCCGGGTGGCCTAAGAAGGCCAATGGCATCCTGGCTGGTATCAGAAATAGTGTTGCCAGCCAGAGCAGGGGAGTGATCACCTCTCTGTACACAGCTCTGGTGAGTCTTCTCCAACCTTGATCACTCCATCTGCAGCACCTGTAATAACTCCTTAACAATACAGACAGTTCAAATGAGATTGGATAACCACTGATCATAAAGATACCAGGTTGTCTAGGCCATCTATAAATGACACAGCTGCGTGGTTTTTTTGCCACTTAGGCAGAAGAAGGCATGCTTAGTGTCTTGCTTCTTCTTGAAATGTGACAATACAGGCATAGACTCTGGGATAGGTTCTGTCTTTAACATAGCCTCGGGGGGGAGGGGGGGGTTTGAAACTGGTGTCACACAGCCTCACAGAATTTAAGATCAAAAGAAGGATTAAGAAAGTCCCACATATCTGGGCTTTCTCCTGAGCGTTATTTCCTCAACCCAGAACAGAGTTGTTTTGCTTTGTCAGAGGTGAGTGGGATGAACTGTTTTGCTTCAGACACTCTTCAGATATTCTTAGGTCCTCCCTAAGAAAGAAAGGCAAATGCTAGAGAACCTTCAAAATATCTTCCAGAGTCTTCTGCCTTCTCCCTTGTCCTTTCAGCCTAAGAAACTCTCATCTCCGGGGCCACAGCAGACTGAGAGGGTTCGTGAGTCCCGATGACTCTGTGATGGCCTGCTAATATATCCATAGTGTTTTTCCCTAAGAAAAGTTAATTTCAGAATGAAACCACAGGCACCAAAACGCATTTCTGCCTTCCAAAAATAATGTTCTGTAATTGCTGTCTGCTTTCTAAGTTTTCCTTGAATTCCTTACTTTTCTCACATTACATCGAAGAAATACACTGGAAGAAAGAATTAAATGAACTACTTATATCTTTCTTTTTGAAACTGTCAGCATTTCTGCACTTTGCTCCATATGCCTGATTCATTTGGCAATGGTGACTCTCCCTTAATAGTCGTATGCTTCTTTTCTCAGATCTTCACCTTTACTAATAATTACGCAAAGCCCAGAAAGTTGAAGGCTCTAAAAAACATGCGCAGTTGTACACTACAAATCTGACCAGACAGTTTGAAATTCATTCTGCAGTTACATGGAAATTTCTGTTACAGCTAGCCTTTGGAGCTGGAAAGTTTCTACACAGCCTTAATGATAGTTGGTTAGTTTGGCCATAGAAAAAAGCAACTGTGCAGCAGGCAAACTGAATGCACTGTAATGTCATATGCTCCCTGCTATCTCTGAATGGTAATTCTAATACTTTGGTGGAAGTTTGTGCATCAGCAGTGTATGACTTCAAAAAAGAATCATAAACCATTTCCATTCTATTGATTTTACATTGTTTCCTATTTTTAGAATACTGTGATGAATGATTTAAACTTCACTCTGACTTCTAGAAAGACTGTTAGAGTACATATATTGATTTGGTTTTGAAGTTTTTTGTTGCTGTTTTTTTGTTTGATTTATTTTTATTTTTTTATTTATTTGTGATGTATTGTTCCACAAAACAACCCATTTTAGCTTTGGTCAATACTTGTCTCCTGGCTTAATAAATCTTGATTTTTTTTTTCAACTGAAACCAATACCGTGATATTTCATGTCTGTCGTATTCATTTGCCTGAAATTGTTCAGTGGAAATCATACACTGTAAGTATCTTTAAATTTAAATATAT